TTTATTAAAATAAAACCATTTAAACTGGGTGTTCGGATTTATATGTTACTTAGTATACATGTATTACATGACTGGACAAGAATTTAACACATATTGAGTTTCTAGGGTCAAATAACGTAATAAGCTAGTGAAATTTTTCTTAAAACATCTCGTGTGGTTTTTCCACTTTTGTGGACAGTAAAATGTTACATTCATACACTTTCCTCTCATACTGTCCCAATGGCAGTAAACGCTCTTTGTTGTTTGAGTATACGTGTATGGTTTCAATTACTCACCAGACGGAGCGCACTAGACGCCAATAAAATTTTAACTGCACTATAAATAAAAAAAACTGCAACGGAAATTCTAGCATAAAGTAGCGATTTCTGGTTTGAATTTCACTATATACTAAATCGTTTTTTAGCACTAGAGGTACAAAGTTTCAATAAGTAGGGTTTGTATGAATAATTACAATTGGCAAGAGTATTAATTCGCTCACTTTCTTCGAATTAATAATGAGCTTTTCCTCAGAACAATGGTAGCGAAACTCCTAGGTGAGAATGCGTTGTACGGTGTATGAAGATATCATGTTAATTACTGTTTATTATTACATGGCATACAATCTTTACAGCATGCTGTACTCTATAGCGACGAACGACAAATTCTGATGTACAGTGTGTCGGATATACTAGCATACAGTGATAGTAGTACCAAGAAAAACTAACAACTGCTCGAAATCATGAAAACGTAATCGATTCGGTTCTCCATTTGCTATACCCCACTAGACATCCAGGGAGAAGATGCCTTTTTGTGAAATATTCAGTGACAATCGTGAGAACATACGCTATAAAGGATTGGTAAACCGAGCGAGGTACGTTTTGGCATCATCAGGCCCAAACTGGTGTGCATCGAAAACACCGAAATGAATACATATGCTCGTCACCTCTGGATACGGGTGTAACCTTGTTGGTGACTTCTAGTTGTATTTCCACGTTTCGGCTACCATGGTGGCCTATTTCAAGTATAATTATTAGTTATTATTAATATATAATACTACTTGAAAGAAGCCACCATGGTAGCCTAAGCGTCGTACAGTAAACAGTATATACAATGTGTTTGGTCACGACATACCGATATTTGAGGGGGATATTTTTCAGCTATTTTTTTCGACAAATCCACCCCTACCGTAATCGTAACGTAAAAATAGAAATGGAAAGCCATTTCAAGGGGGATGAGGTAGGATATTGTAGGGGGGTGGATTTGTCGATAAAAATAACTGAAAAATACTCCTCTTAAATATCGGTATGTCGTGACCAAACACATTGTATAGTATAATGTTTGAAATTATGAAGTGTAAGAGTCACTTCTTTGCCTCTTCCTCCACCAGCTTTAGCAGCTCTTTTGTACCTTGCGATGAGACAACCAAGAAACCTTCTTAGAGCTTATTGAGTGTTCTTTTCTCTTTCTCACGTAATATTTTTTTTATACTTCAACTACCACGAAGGCCTGAGGCCTAAATACCCATGGGCTACCGTGAGGCTATAGTGGAATACAGGGGAAAGGGGGAACGCCACACGGACTCTGGCGAGGGAACACGTGTGCATGCAACATGCACACATTCTGGCCCGCCTACGAGATCCGCCGGCTGGTATCTCCACGTTCGACAGTCAGAGACCGTCTACCACCTACGAAATATACCGACGATAAGATCAACCATTGATCTAATATACACCGACAACCAAATACATATGCCTGACTGCTTGAATTCAATGTGTATGAGAGAGAAGTGTGTATAGACAGATATGCTAGAAAGAGATAGAAGCCGGCTGAATATCGAAGCTCATCAACGCGTTGCCTAGTAACGTTGAAGCGGCAATCTGCCGCATTGCCGATATGTTACACCAGCTCTTGAATTAAGTTGCATGTTAAGAATATGCGGTAGTTTACTCTCTATTCCCATGTAATGGTTTTATTTTGATCGTACACATTTTTGAATTGTGAATTGTATCGAATCTGTTCAGGGTCTATTCCGGATCGGTCCTAACGGCGCTCCATTTTATATCGAAGTGAAAGGTCAGGATCGCCACAAATACTGCAATATTGCATCACTGGTTCGCTTCCACTCCACTTCCACCTCCATGATCATAGATTAGCGATTTTAGTCAGTCCCCATCTAGCGCTCATTCGGGAGCGTCGCCCTGCTTCGAAATGATTCTTACCTGCTTCCACGCAGACAGTGATAATATGTATTGCCTAATGGTATTTGTTATATTTTCCGACCGCTCCCTTTAGCAGAATGGAACAATAAGTCAGTATGTGTTTATTTTATCACCATCAGTGGAAATCACAGGTAATTCTAAAGTAAATTAAAACAGTCGCATCAAAATTGAAATAAGTGATTCTAATTAAAATGAAAACAGAACATTTAATTTTCGAACAGACCTCCTTCTTGGGTTTGACAGTAACGTAACCTATTGTAGAAGCATGCGCGAACGTTTTTTGGTGTAACATAGTGGCAACGTGGAAAATGGAACGAGCTTCTGCGTACTTCTGCACACTTCTCGCGATACTCTCTCGTACACATTTTACTCGAGCCTTCATACAAGTTTGGTTTTCCCTGTATCATATTTAGTGTCAGTCTATGCAAACTTAATTTAACCATAAAACGTGAGATCCCTAGATAGGTACACTCTCGGGAACTCAAAGGTTCGACTAATATTAGCCTACGAAGCAAGCTTGAAGGTTGCTTTAAAAAACTAAGCCTAAAATTCTCTTCGGGCCTTAATGAGGAAGACTTGAACTTTACTTTAGAAACTTGGCAATCCTAAAAAGGATAACATTTAACAAAGAGAGGGAACTCGAAAGCCGTCACTTTTATAGAAAAGTCACAAAGGGTCTTTTTTATTCAGAACGATTCGGAAAAAACAGAGAATTACGTATGGAGCGAGAAAACGTTTTTTTTTTAAAATTTATTTAAAAAAATTGTTTAAATGGACTTGCGCCAGGTAACCTCATGATCCATTTTAAACGGTACCCAATAAATGTGATTATGGAAAAAAATCGAATTGCATAGCTTCTCGCATGAATGAGAGGTTTACGCATTGTCTAATGTTTCAGTATCTCTTCAAATATGATCACTGGATAACGTGAAGATTATTAGTTGAATAGTTTGGAATAAGTAATTTTCCTTTTTTTTGCTCCAGATGAGGTTCTTGGGTTTCCCGTATGATTCTGAATAAAGAGATTTTCAGAAACTGCCTTCTGACAGTGAGCGGGTTCACGGTTCCTTACTAGGCTACTTGTAAAAGAAAGAAGATAAGGACGATTTCACTTTGAAAACTCGACCTTCAAGGGTATTACTTATCTTGAAAAGCGACATTTCGTCGTTTTTATTTTTGAAATTTCGTAGGTTTTTTGTGACATAATGTAGGTTTTTTTACAAGATGTTACCTTAGCACAAGCTGTTGTACACTTGTGAACTCGTTTTGTGACTGCATGTGTTGCTTAAACGCTAGCAAACAGCGATCATAGCGAGCAAACGTGGAATGACGCATTTGCACGCTAAAGACTGCCTAGTCTACAGGATGACAATTCGTCGTATTTTTTCACGTTTTTTACATTACTTAAGGCTCAAATGTTTTTTGCAAGGTTCCACGCACACTTACACCTTACAACTATAGTCAGGCTATGGTATTATTTTTGTCCTAACGCTAGTCCACAATAGTACGTTGGGTACACAGCACTCTTGAGAAGTAGGCCAATATTAGGCGAGCACGTTTATAATCAAATGCACATATCTTCGAAGGACATAATGTGCGAAACAATGCTAGCTTTCTCAAATGAGGTCTGTATAGAATTGTTTTCACTACTAACAGTAGTCTGGGTGTTACTTATTTATAAGCCGTAATTACAAGGGCGCTTTCCTAAACCAAAATCAAGTTGTTCATATGCACATGTGTCACCAAAAGTATGGTTTCTAACATACAGGATGTTGAAGATTTTTAAAAAATGGTTCTTGACACATTATAGTAAACTGTTCAGCAAAGTGGAAGATATATTGTTAAGAACAGGACAACATTCCTTAGCAACGTTCAATGTTAATTTGACCTAATTTTAATAATTTTTCGACATGTAATGGGCATACGAAGAGATACCAAGAGACGGAAAGGTTGTGTTAGCACCTGCCTAGTCCGAAAAGAATATATATTTTTGAAAAAGTGACTGATGTACATCTTTCTTTCAACAGAATTCGTAAGAATGCCAACGAGACGTGACTGCCATTCGTAATTTTCGTATTTATCTTATTAAAGTCAGAAATACTGCCAAAAATCCGCATATCCGACACGAAGCTACTGGGGTATTAATTATAAACCATACCTTTTTAAACGTTGATACCATAAAATTTGAAAATCACACTTTTGACACATGCTTATATGAACCCTTCTACTTAAATTTGTCTCAGCAATGTGACTTTGAAATTACTGCCTATCATTAAGTAACATCCTCTATATCACAAAGTATTCAATTTTACATCACGATCATGACGGTTCCAACTCATTTTACAAATATTTCAAGATATCTAGTTATCTAATCTCAAACTGATGAACTCAAAATTCCGAATGCAACGAACGGTCCATCCGACGGGTTTTCTTTTTGTTAACTTAAAGCTGTTTTCAAGCATTGTGTTGATTATTGGAGCTAGTTCAAAACTACTTATTTTATAATCGTTCTAAAATTATTTCGAAACATAAAGTTCAATATTGAATCTGATACAATGAAATTGACATGATAAAAATTCAAATGATATTATTTACCTAGGTGCTTCTTGCTTTTGTTATTTATCAAAGAACAGAACTGCTGCTTTTCCAAAAGCCATTGAGTAATGGCGATTTCTTCCGTTAGTAGTGGAAAAAATATCTTCCGTAGGGCTGACCTGTGTAAATACACGTTGGCACCCTGTTTTGTACCCATCTGAACACACCTTGTTGCAGCCGACTCAGGCAAAAGCTCATTCCTCGCAGGATTTGGTATGGGGTTCCTGGCCTTCGCGTTGAAGAAGCTCCTGTTACCAGTCTTCATCGGGGCGCAGCTAGTCAAGAGCATTCTAATCGCCATGTTCCTGCCTTCCATCCTGGGCGGATTGGGAAAGATTGTAGGAAAAGGTTAGTTGTACCAAATAGTAGCCATAACGTACACTTAGTTTCAAAGCAAAGGGCGAGAAGACGTAACAGTTGAGTTACAATTCTATAAAAGGTATACCTTAGATCAGAGAATATTTAGCAGTTTCACATGAAATTGAAAATACTACTCATTTTAGGACATATGTTTTATTGAAAATGGACTGACGGATTTGTGGATTCTATGTGTCATACACCACTGCCGTGTCAGGATGCAACAATAGTGACCGATTTAAAGGCAAGTGCTTGCCAAGATCTTTACTTCCAACTCCACCATGGACGTCCTCCCCCTGGACCCCAACCCCCGAGTGCCGTGGGTTCAAAGGATTCCCATACTATGCGGAAAGTAACATTCAGGCATAATACCATACAGGTGCTCTTGTCGCTAGACATCAACAAGCTTCTGGTCCAGAATTCCTGCTGTTGTACTGAGCAGGTGTCCAGCGGAGGTTGCTCCAGTTCTTTCCCGTCCCTTCTAGATATCTTCCGGAAAACTGGAAATTCATAAAGTCCCAAAACGGGACCTAAGACTGACCGCTACAGCTACAGGCATATAACTCTGCTTTCAGTTATAAGTAAGCTGATAGACAGGTACATAGATCAAGAGCTTCTGGACTACCACGAACGTCACGCCTTGACTAGCGACCGGTTCCGGCACAAATGATCCACAGGGGACCTCCTAGCTTATGGCACACAACTGTGGAGTAGACTCATCAAGCCTTATAGTGAGGCTGATGTCGTTGCTCTTGATACCACGAAAGCGATCGATCAGCTGCGGCATCCTGTCCTCTTATGCTTCCATCCTATGGCGTCCCAGAGAAGCTCTCTTGACGTGTTCTCACATCAAAAAATCCACGGTGTCAATTCACCAATCAGCAAAGGAAAACATCACCTTTTGTGGAACCAAATCAGGAAACTGGGTAATAAGGACACTTGCAATGTTGCAGTTACCTCCATTTTGTTCAAGACACGTTGGTAAAAGGGTGATGTTTAAGCTAAGCCTCTCCTATTTTTACAGAACACAGTGTCCGACTATTATTTACTTTGTCGATACTGCATGACCACCACTATCAGGAGGTTTGACACTTACTGACTCCTGCTACAGGGTATCCCAACAGCAAAGTTTTACATTATTGCCGGAGAATATCGCTGACTTAAAAGCAAGTATCTTTTGATAAATTGTACCAGCGTGCTTTACCAGGTGCGATGAACAAGTTGGATGGAATAGTGACATCTAGGTGACGTGAGGTTTTAAAAATAAAAACCGTACAAATTATGCGTCACTTGCAGTAAGAAAATGTCTTCCAAGGTGTGTAGCATCTTTTTTTTTAAGTTTTTAATTTCAGATATATTCTGCGTTCGCCTTATAATAACCAGAAGTAGCAAAAATATAAAATTCCAGGCCAACGCTCTGCCGTATTTAGCTCTAGCATGACTTAATCTTTTTCACACAATGCGCTTAAAATGTGACCCTATGTCTGAAATGAAATTTATGTCTCCGTTATATGTGACAAATTTCTGACGTTAACAGCTGGACAAAATGTTGCTCTGGTTTTATTGGTAGGTGGAATAAAAGTCATACTGATTTCTTCGGCGAATAAAGGATGCGAGTTGTTTTGCAATTAATGAATTTCAAGCACGTTTCTCCCAAGAATTAGTGGAAAAAAAAGTATCAGTTGCATTATCTTTGAAAATGAACGTAATCAATCTGTTTCGGGTATGGTAAATTCAATTTTTCCTAGATAGAGATTGATATCTACGGTGAGAAGGTAACGCTATTTATTTCATATCCACCTAGGATTTTCTTCCATCGACGTCAAACCAACATAGACATGGCGGTAGCCATGTTCTCACATGAAGGCCTATTTTCAATATTTCCTACTATCATGTCCAACACTTCGTTAGCGACAATACTCCGTCGTGCCGCTATATGAGTCCCTAACCTTGTTTTGATTTATCAGGTTACTAAGCAGGATCTTGGTAATATGAGTATTATTCTTGACCTAGGCATCATCATCGAATCCGTTTCATATTCCTGCCAGTCCAGTGCATTGAGTTTGCCTTTGCCAAATCTAAGTTATTCCAGAAGAACATGCGTTCCTGGGTATCTTGGAATTATCAGATAGTCGTAAACTGGATTCACTCCAGAATAATGTTTATTTTCTCCTGACTCTTGATTCTGAATTGTTCTCTCTGAATAAAAAAGGCTTAGTAATATTTATATAAGAATAGGTAATAAAATAAAGTACTCAAAGATTTATTTCATATATTTCGTTGAAAAATGTTTATTCAAATATACAGACTTCAATCTTGTTATGATAACTACTATGAAACATGGTAATTTGAACATTGAATTTTGCTCTTCTAACTTACGAGGGCTTTTCGCAGGTCTTTCCACATTCTCTGGACTATCTGGTGCATCGACTGGAATAAACCATGCTACTCCAGAGCCTATGGAGGATTTTGAGTTCAAGGATACTGATCCTTATACAAACGAGCCAGGGTTAGGGAACGACTTCCATGATGTTGAGGCTACGAATCAGCTTGCTGCTTTGGACTCCAGTACTGCTACACCGTCAAATAGCAGGTAAGCTGTATCTCTCTTATTCTTTTCATCTCTGGTTAATTAGTCGAATGTAAACTTAATCACAAGTACACTAAGTAAACTTTGAAAAAATATCAGCGTTCGAGCTGGTCTCGTTAACAATTTACAGATGCAAAGGAAGCAAATATCTTATTTTCATGTGTACGGGATACTCAACTAAAGCGTGACAGCTAGGTTATCAAGAATTATTATATACGACACTTACATTTTAGATGCAGACCATGACGTTGTATGTTTATCACACATCTCCAGATATCCCTTAGTCAGCACCAGTGCTATATTATAAAGGTATTCGTACCATAGAATGGTAGCGAATAAATACATTTTTAATCCATATTCCCAAAGCATTTGAACTTCGGCTTAATGCAAACCTCAATATATAAATTAATTGTTGAATTGCGCTTTTAAACCATACTTACTCCACGTCAAAGCCTACACCAGCGCGCGACATTCAAATTCCCGCACCATTGTTGGCCTGCGGACCGTGAATGCCTGGGAAGGCAGCGACAAGCGAAAAGCAGGGACAACCGCTCATGCTATCTTGAGGCAGATTAAATGAGGTCTGAGTAGGGTATAATTTTTAGACCTATCATGTATGCCGAACTGGTAAATTAATATTCACCGCTGTATAACTCACTAATATCCATATGTGTACATTTTTCCTGAATTTCGGTAAGTTTTTTTCCTAGAGGTTATTTTGAGTTCTAGAAAATTTAGCACCGTATTTTTAGGGATTGAGTTCGTTTAGACAAATCGAATTTTCATATGCATGTAACTCAAATAGATTGTATAATGCCTGGAAACTGTGCATGGAGACAACCTACTTTCTCTGAGACATTTTGTATTTTATAGTTATGCAAAGACATTCTTTCGTAAGCCTACGAAAACTGACTACGTACATAGAATGCACGCCCATTTCTATTATCGTTCGGTTCCCTTTATAAAATTTTCAATTTTTCACCGTCCATGGGAGAGAGCTCTTATATTATGCAGACGCTGGGGAAATTCCATGAACGAAAATTTTAATTTAGCTGACGTATTTCAACCGTTGCGTTGCCTGCTTGTAATTTAGGCGAGTAGCGCTGAAGGGATAAAGTCATACTTCAATACATTCCAGGAGCTGCTGACGTTGCTAGTGTGCAATTTTTATCTTTAGGTGCTTTCAATCTAATGTGCCTCCTGTTGGTTTACGAATGACCACAAGCTTATGAGACAAAAACAATCTCATGTTATTTAATTCTCTTAGTTACTCGCCTAAAATGTGACCAATCTATGGTGAGTATGAGTTACTTTACATATGTAAACCACGAAACTAATAGGTGGACACCAGCTGACAGTCAGATAAAAAGATACAATGTTCAAATGTATTTCGTTGTGCTATAAACAAGAGCAACTGGCATATGGTCGGGAAGTCGGGATATTATGAAGATCTTTTTCCCGAAGAACTCCTTATACATTGTGGCTGACGATAGACCTCGATACGTGGAACAAAATGTTCAGTTCCAAAATTTAGTCAGCGATCAGTCATGACCTGGTTTATTCAGTTAGTTGTCACTGACACGTCACTGAATAAGCGGGTTGACTAAGCGAGCTTGGACCGACTACCGCTGTTCGTACCGAAACTTCTGCCTGTTCTGCCAATAAATTGTCAGAGCTCAAAATAAAGTACGTATACAATTTTAGAAAAGGGTATTTTTATTTGCTGTAAACCACTTGCCCAAAACTTGATTTATTTTCTAGAAAAAGATAACAGCACCCAAAGAGGTCAAGTGGATTTACTCCGTAATTCCCACTCAACTCTAATTTAAATATGTTGGACATTAATTCGAAGAAGTGTGATACACATCGAATGACTAGTTGAAGAAGCAAGAAGCAATCATTTTGTATTAACGTCTGCAATGACTATGCATGAAAAATGTACAAAGTATTTATTATAAAAATGGACTTTTGATAAAACTAGGATAGTAGGGTTTTAGTTCCCTATTGAATAGCGTGTGGATTTTCCACGCTTCATGAATGGAAATTGTCCATATTGAATATTCCACTTCGATTAAGGTTGGATTCATCTGTCCATAAGATACTGTCGAAAAGATATTCACCCTCTTCGTACCTGCTCAACATATTCTCACAAAATTCAACCTGTTGTGCATAGTCGCTTGGAAGCAATTCTTGTTCTTTTTGTACATGGTAAGGATGCATGTTCTCCGAGCGAAATATTGTGTGCAATGAAGTATGCGATATGTTTCTGCTTCGGGCAATGGCTATGGTGCTTATAGAGGGATCTTTCTCAGCTGCTTCTATTATACATATATCTTCTATCTCTTCTGGCCGTATCCTCGGCACTCCTAGTTGACGATGAGTGCCTAGTATGCGGACCTCCATATACGCATTATGGAAGCGTAGAAAAACGCGGTAGTCGGGATATACCGTCGGTTGTGGTCCACCTCTTCTAACCACATACTCCCGATACATGCGGGCAGCTGCTCAAGCATTTCCTAGGGCAGCATCATAATAGCAATGCATTTATGCATAATCTCGCGAAGAATATGCCATGATTCTACTCAGATGCCAAACGTTAGATAGAAATTTCGCGCTGGACCATTGTCTGACTTCGGTCGAACCGAAGATTAAACGCTCCCGCACCTGAACTGCCGAGTTGAATGCCCAAGCGCCCAAGCTCATTAAGCTTATTTGGCTATTTGCGTAAGAAATTCGCCATTTTGATTTTGCAAAATTTTGATACACCCAGTATCACTAGCACTGCTAGGACAAATCTAACAGTATCTCATATTTCAAAATCCATCAAGTCGCTTGGACTGTAGACCCACCTGCGTCAAACATATAGTTTTTTTAAGATGAAGCACTTATCGTGGCAAGCTGAAATTTTCCGAGTTTATTCTACATGAATTGAAATACCTTTTACAATGAAATGAATAATGAAATACAACCTCAATTTTTTTACCGCCCTCCAATGTTGAGGGATAGAAGAGATTTTTCAACAAAAATTAATTTGAGATTTTTTGCGTTGATTTCTAATTAGCTTTGATAAGGAGTGGCATCACCATTGCTAAAACTAACCATTTAGCTCATCTCAAAAAAAATCACAGTCCTAAACGTAATGGTTTAGTTGTAATCGCGATTGAAAGTTCATTATCCAGTGTTTTTTCGAAGTTTCACAAAATTGCGAGTATATCCAGAACTATAAAATTTCGGACCACACATATAGTGGCTCATATGCTTTGCGGCCCTCTAGCACCTGACCTCCGTTAATCTACTATTAACTTTACACTCTGTATATCTCTTATAAGGATTGTTATACAAAATTGAAATGGTTGCTAACAAACTCTGCACCTTTGGAGTGCCAGACAAGAATTTTCTTATTCTTTGGAACGCCTTTCATTTGACGATCAACATCCCAAGCAATCTAAGAAAGTCTGTGGAGGGTTGTCCTGGCTGTTGGTCTATATTCACGGTGCGCTATTATTTATTGAAGATAATTTACTGTCTATTGCATTGCTACCGAAGTAACAAAGAAATAAACGTTTTGTTGTAAGTTATTAGATGAAGCAGAAAAGGAAAGGCTGATTGTCACAGGTTAGTATAGTCATCTTAAGTCTCGACTCGTAAACCACTACCATTTGGATATTTGCAGATATGGAGCACCAACGAGACAAGGTTCTCATACGTCAACATCTGCTCAGAGCGTGTAAACCAGGTGGAAGGAGGGCATATCTTTAAAATACTTTTAACAGGCTATTATGCCTGATTTCGCGAGACACCAAAAACCTTGAGGCACATGAAATAAAAAATGCAAATGTCATACTCAACGCCACACTGAAAACAACATTTCAATTCGTCAATTGGGAACAATTCCTTGATTTTCTTTGCGTTATTGGTTGTAATGAGTGAAAATAGTACTTTCATGCTCTACCAAAATCTTCGAAACTCGCACGTTCTTTTACGAAAATTTCCAGTCAAAGACTATATTAAAAAAAATCGACACTCAAAGTGTTACTTGACAATTTTTAATAAATCGTGCTCATGAGTTGCCAAAAAAGCACGACTCAGATCTCGGTGGTTGGCTGTCTTTGGTGGGACGGACGGAAGCTGCATGACTCTCGAAAAAAAAAGTTAGTTACGAAAATGCATAACAGAGAAATCAGATGGATCAAGTCCGTCAAATAAGTCCGTACAACAAGTCCATATCATCCTTTTCCTGCCATATCCGTGGTATCGTTTATCTGGCAATGTCGCATCGCCTCTCCCAATATCTGATAGCATGATTCGTCACACATGGCAGAGCGCCAACCACAGAGCACCAGTCGTGTAGGACAGATACAAACACAGACACACATGTACGGGACAATTTATCCCTTTATGTGTGAAATATGTCTAATAAGTACGTAGAATTATTGGAGTTTGAAGTGTATTAATAAACTAACATCAGAAAATCACGATACACCCACCAATACATCACTACAAGCCCCCCACCCCAATTTATTACAAAAACCAGGATCCTCTGGAACGTCAAAAGAACGAAGTTAGAACGATACTTTTCTTTCGTTTCTGGCCTCATTCTCCGCTGCCACTGGACGCCGCACTGGACCAAGTTTAAGAAACTACAAAGCTTTTTCATATTTGGAATAATAGTAAGATTGTGCAAAAATTTCATCAACGTCCGAGAGGTACTTCTCAAGTTATAGGTTATAGGATTACCCGACATACAGACCGACAGGCAGACAGACGGAAACTGATGACATGGTTTTTAGTCATATCCGTGCCATATAACATCCAGAAAACATATTTTTTTTTCGAACATTCTCCCACTACAACACTTCCCCGCCAGCAGACGTGAAAAATAAAATACAGAGTTTGTATGTTTTTTTCAAAATCGTTCGGATGACTAACCGTACCGTGGTAGATACTAACAAAACATGGCGTCAAGTAAGTTGACTCTGTACTTCCCATGCAACGCTGTCATG